GGGTGAGGCTGTGTGGGGCCCTCTGTGCGGGCAGAGTTAAGGGTGAGGCCATGCCGGGCCCTGCGGAGCCCTCTGTGCGGGCAGAGTCAAGGATGAGGCCGTGCCGGGCCCTCGGCACAGGCAGAGTTAAGGGTGAGGCCACGCTGGGCTGTACAGAGCCCGCGGTGCGCAGCTGCGGGGTTTGAATGCAGTTAGAGCTGAGGGTAAGGCCATGCCCGTGCCTTGCGTGTTTTGTAAGCCCCGACTGTCCTCAGCGCGGGGTGACGGCGGGGTTTACGCTAAGAGAGCACCAGCAATCCAGTAGGATTTAGGTCTTAGGCCAGGGAACCGCAGGGGATGCCATACTGCAGTTGAAGGAAAGTCATAGATGATTTTAAAGTCAAGCACTGGCTTAATCCTGCACGGAGCAGCCGCTGCCAAGCGTCCTCGCGCTGCCCGGGGACGCGCCACCACTAAACATCGACGGTGGGGAGCGGGAAATGAGCATGCCGGGCAGCAGAGGAACCGGCAGCCTTGACATGGCCTTGCGACCTTGGCTGCTCATGCCGAGAGTCCAGCGCAGGCAGTTCTTGGTTCAGAGCTGAAAGTTGGGTTTTATCCTGGGGTTAAAGTAATTGCTAGTGTTTGACGATGCTGCATTACGCAGATTGCACAGACAGAGTTAGTTAGTGTTTAGGCAGTATTTGACTTTCAGAAGGAACCAAGGAAGTTCAGAATGGAAGGTGTAAAATTAAACATTGCTATCACTTTTATTCACCCCGTCTCGCTGTCTTAGCACACGCTGTCACTGATCTGGGTTTCAGTTGAGAGCTAAGTGTCCAGACTGTATTCCTCCAGCAAAGCTTTAATTTTTAAGAAAGTTTTTTTTCTTTTCCTGCTGCCAGCCTGCAGGACTGTTCTGACCAATGCTTGAATAAACAGTCTTACTGCTTCTTTTTGTTCATGTGCAGCCTGCTCTAGTGTTTTGCTGCCCTGAGGCGCCGCTGTGCGAGTTTCGTGCTGAAGTCGGCACGTGCGGCTCAGGGACAAGGAGCCGCGGGAAGCAGAGGATCTTCGGAGAACCCAGCACTGCGCGTCCAGAACTAGCAGCCTGCCCAGAGCCAGGGACCTTCGGCTGTGGCCACGTGGAGCAGGCGATGCCACTGTCCTGCCAGGCCAGTGCCGCCCGTGCATGTAAAGCTTTGCTTATCCTCTGCAGGGTAAGTCCTGTCTGTAATGGGAGAAATTACCACTTAAACGCGGAAGAAGTGTTTGCTGGCTGCTTTTCCTCTGTGAGCGAGCGTGTGAAAGGCTGCTGGGAGAGGTGCCCTTCCCTAGTAAGGAGGGCGCTCCTTCACAGGCCATGACACTGCGCAAGGGCATGAGTGGGAACGAACCCTGCCCATTTCACAGGGAATGCATGAGATTTTTTGATATCCTTTAAGGTGAAACGTAGCAGTCTCCTCTGTCATTCTGATTTTAGTCTACTGTTAAATTATTGTCACCACCCACACTAAGGCAGGGACAATGCAGAGCAGGTTAACCAAGGTCCTTGCACATGCAGTTTAAATTTGCAAACACAATCGTCCTTCTTGCCCCTCACTGGCATCCCCGAGGACGGCAAGGTATGGACCAGGGACTCTCGGCACCCTGCGGCTCGGCCAGGCGTGCGGTTCTGAGGCTGCTCAGCGGGTGAGTCGGAGGAAGGGTGGCCGGGGCTGGGCTGGGCGCCTGGCACGTGGGACACCGTGAGCAGCTTGGCGCGTGGGCTGCGTGGCGTTCAGGAGCCCGTCTGCGCAAGGAGGCAGGCTGTGGCACTTACAGCTTACCTGTTGCTCCTCATACTATTACTGGTATTTAATGACAGTTGCTGATGTACGTACACTCAGCCAGCACAGTGCATATCTGCATGTTATGCATGCGACGGTGTGTGATGATAGCGAGGCTTTGCAAGAACCCGCTTCAGCTCCACAACCCAAGCAGCAGTTTGGGTTCAGTTCTCGAGAAGTACGGTGTGATTCCAGCTGCTCCTGAGGTCTTTCCTGAAGCTCAGCTTCATAAGTTCTTTGGACAAATCATAGTGTCTTCCTTTTTGCTGTAAATATGGCTAAAGATGTAGGTAGGTAATCCCAGAACAGTTGCTGACTGATGCTACAGTTGCCACTACTCTAGGAAATGGAGAAGCATTGGATTTTCTGGTCCTAAAATTCATATACGTGTGAAGAGTGAGCAACAGAATTTGAAAAGGTGTGACTGGATTGAAATCTGGTCACTTCAAGGGGGTAATAGCCTGCAGAAGAGCAGCAGCGGTGCAGCAACTGCTCAGGTCCCCCAAGTCATGCTCTGCGCTTCTCTAAAAGGCTTGTAACAGCAGGATGCAGTTCTAGAAAAAAGGAACAACTTTTGTTTAAGTTTGTTGGACATAATGCACGTGTTTTGTATCATTTCACAGCTATCGTTTCTTTTTAAAGAAAGTAAATAGCAAGAATAGGAGTTTTTATGGCGCTCTGTTTTCTGGCCGTGCCCGGCTTGTTTCCCTGGGCTCTCAGATGCTTCTTCCCATTTCTGTGGATCTTTGATACTGTATTAGGGGAGAGTGAGATGCTGAAACTGAGGTAAGACAAAGTGCTGTGAAATGTACAGAGCAAACAAACTGAAAGGAGACAAATGGGAATATTTTTCTCAGACATTTCCTGTGTTTTATAATTATAAGTGTCTGTTTTGTAATTATAGGTGTCAGTTGTGGCAATAGGAATTAAAAACTTTCAGATGCAAGTAACTTTCGTTTTGTAGTTCAGTGACTTTCCCCCTGAACTGCTGGAGGTGAGGATCCCATTTAAATGCCATATTGCTGCAGAACAGCCGTTAGCTCCTTTCCCTCCTCCTCCTGGCCATGTCCTCTTCCAAAGTACTCCTTCAGTCTGATCTCATCCTCCTTTCCTTCTGTGTTCCTGTAAATCAGAGTAGATCAGTTTAGCCATTGAACAGCAAACTCAAATTAAATGGAAGTACGAGAGCCTGTCACATGTGTTTCATGATTCACTTATGCTTTATGGCACAACTGCCTTGTTGTGTTGTTCGTTATGTCATTCATTTTTAAACAGCAAGTTTCTTAGTGCAAATAAGAGAAAAATCCTTGCAAGTGTTTTTTAAAGAAGACAGTGATTTCACTAAATGAAGGAAATTGCATGTATTTTGAGTTGAAAGGAGTAAGCCTTTTCCAAACATTATAAAGAATTATCTGTTTTTTGTATAAGCAAACTGCTGAGAGCATTCCCCTTTAGGTTTTCTTTTAGACGTTCCCTAAAGTTGTGGATGTTTTCTCCTATGAGCCCCTCTCAAACTTGTAAGTTTCCAAAGCTGTGTTTCTCTTACAATAGGAAAATCCTGTACAGTCCTCTAACAGCTAACCTGAGTGTCTAATACAGCACCTTCTTTACTGTTGCATTCAATGCAGATGTTTTGAGACATTTTATATAAAACCAGGGGTTAACACGGGCTTCACAAAACTAGAAATCAAGATCAGATTGCCTCTAACTTTGTGCATGCCGGTGTGTCGGACCAGGCTCCTAAAATCGTCGACGCCAGTTAAAAATGTTGCTCTAACGGCAGTCCTGTGCTCTGGGTCAGCCCTGCAAGAAAGTGTGTGCCCGCCTGGGCTTTTCCAGTCCTTGCTTAGCTTTGT